TATGTATGTATGTATGTATGTATGTATGTATGTATGTATGTATGCATGCATGTGTGTGTGCGTGCGTATGTATGTATGCATGGTGCGTATGTATGTATGCATGCATGATTGAAGGAAGAAGTTGCACATAAAGCTAACGTGCAATAAAGGCTAAATACATATATGAATTTTTTTATACCAAAATGCACTAGCCGGTACTAGTAATTAAAATCTTGCTGGGTTAAAGGCCATCTTGTATGCAGGTACCAAGCCCCTTCCCCTCCATCTGCATTGCTACGTGACAGGTCTTCCGCCATCGACGGGACAAACATTTTGTTTCCAAGTTAAAAGAACGACGCCTTTTACTCATGCAGTTTCTAATACTCTTCCCTTTTCACAAACAATGGAGGCTTTACGACCCATGCACGACCCATTACTTCACTGCATGCGAGAAAGCTCGCCAGCAGCGTCACTCGGGTTATATATTCTCACCGGCTTCTTCCTCTGCCAATATACTGACTCCGGTCAGCTATGTCGTGTGTCCTTGGGCATATCTGATTAAAATCAGATATCCACTGCCCTAAATGAAGATCTGATAGCAACCGCTTAGGGGTCATGTTCTGGTCACCTTTGAATTACCAAGTGGAAGTTGAGCTGTCAGGAATTTGAACGTGAACCAAATCGTACATTGATACTCTAGCCTAATTAGATAGTTTCGTATTCTGAACAGTTCCCCCATATTTTTAAGATGGAAGTCTAGCGCTTATAAATTCACACATAAGTTAAATATTACAAGAATATATGGATTTTTATTTGGATTTTTAAAGCAGCTTTAACAACTTTCCAGCCATATCGCTATAATGTCTGCAGTGTGGCAGTTTATAGTGATGTCTAGCACTGGGCCGTCATGCCGCAGACATGTAACATGATGTCCCACTCAGTCACTTAATCCTGAAACCAGTCCTAACACTAACCCCTTAATGCTGAGCGCCAAGTGAGGCAGTTGTTAGTACAATTTTTATAAATCTTTGGTATAATTCAGACGGGGATCGAACCCACGACCTTCCGCATCCGAGGCGGCAGACGCTTTAACCACATAAGCCACCGGAAGCTATCCCTTGTTACAGGAAAATATTCAAAATAACTCGTTGTTGTCAAAAAGGAATTTAAAAAAGAGGCGTTGGTTATAGTGTTGATTATTAAAACCTCCGGAAGGAATTAACCTGATTACCACATTCAAAAATCATAAAATAATGCTTTCTACAAAAGGAGCACTATTTTTATTTATATCTTTAATTTAAAATAATTCTCATTTATCTGCAATAGGTGGTTGTCGGATGAAAATTCATCAAAAAGAAAAAACCCTGTCCAGTAAGATTTATTCAGCCATACTGCTCAGTCTCTATACCGCTAAGGTTCAAGACTACTTCTGCTTGGCTGATCAAATTATCGGTTATGGTATAAAAAAAATAGATCACCAGAACATGATCCCTAAGCAGTCGCTGTCAGATCTTGAAGTGGTACAGTGGAGATCTGATTTTAATCAGATTGCCATTAGGCAAGGCACTTGACTCCTCTGCACTGAAAATAATCTACTTGGATGATATGCCGAAAAGCACCAAATCACGTCAAGAAAGCTTATAATGTGCTGAAAATTACGTTTAACGCCCAACAAAATCAGAACTAAGGAATGCAAGACTACGCGTTTTAAAACATTCGGCAGTACGTACAGTTCAAAGTATAGCAGATCTGATTTCACATCGTAACGAAGTTAAAATTTCACACTATATCAGGGTTTTACTGTCGTTGTCTAAAAGCTCAAAGAATACAGAGAAACAACGTTTCGAAGACACGCTTGCGTACAAAGATTAAGAATTGTCCGTACCACATATGCTCGCTGATAAGTTGACTCAAACTGCAAGCAATAAAGAACCTAATCTGCCGTAGCATAATGCACATGCCGATCAAGGTCTTTGTTGTTTTGTTTTACTGATTACACTTAATAAACTGCACAGACCCGGATCTGCCGGTGCGTTATGCGGCGGCAGATCTGGGTCTTGCAGCTTACAGATGTCATAATTGAGTACCTATGGTAATAATTACTTTCATGGAAGGTCAATGATAGATGTTAGTCTTTCATAAACCGACAACGTAAGGTCAGGGTTGATAAGTAACTGGTCAATTCACCTTTCAAAATGGACAGCGACTACTTCTCATAGTGATATCTAACTTGGCAGTTTATATCTGTTTATCCACGTCATGAGCTAAAATGGTCACTATCCCAGCATGCTAGCATATTAACCTGCACGTACGTTACTGCATGAACTTCAAAACACTCTACGTACACAGATCATTAACATAATAATTAATCATCGTTGGCATATTTCAGGCTGCTTTCTTTCTAAAAGAAACCCCCGCAGCGCAATGGTTTGCATCCCTGACTTGGTCCGAAAGGTGGAGTTTGAATTCTTTAATCTAATCATTCTGGGTCAGCTACCGCTGTGCGTCCTTGGATACGGCACTTGGACTACATTTTCATCACCACTATAAATAATCAGTCTTTATTACTCTGCCGTAAAATGCTAAACCAAACCAAATCATCCCCCAACCCCATATCATTTTCGTGTAAACTTGAACCCATCGTTTAAAATAACGTCTTGTGAGACTTTACGTCGTCTTGTACACGATACCCGCAGTTAGAGATACGACGGTATGGACTATTTATTATACTATCTTGAATCCCAGTCTAGTGAGAATCAAAAGGTTTGCTTAATTGTTTTTTGTCCTATGTAGTATTTTGAAAATTAGGAGGTTTGGGCTACAGTTCTTTTTATACATACATACATACATACATACATACATACATACATACATACATACATACATACATACATACATACATACATACATACATACATACATACATACATACATACTGGATAAAGTCCATCGTGTGGTATAAAAATGTTCAAATTTTAACGAGTGAAGAATCAATGAGTTTAAATATCTCGTGTTTGTTAAGACAATATGAAAAAGATCCAGTATTTAAGAAGAAAAAGAACATGTTCTTTTTATTATATACCAAAACGTGTTCTAGACTCGAAGTTTATACGATTAAACACCCCACCACTTTTCGTATTACTTTTATAGGATGATCATATAAGCATCACTGACTTAAGAGAGTGTAGGACGGGGATGACATAATCTGTCACAGTAAATTGCATTTTGGACTTTTTGTAAATATTTGGAAATATCTGATCACAATGAAAGTCCGATTCAAGCAATACAAAACTCGTCATCGGATTTTAATTAATTGCATTTAAACTGTAAACTTTTGAAGTGATGGAATTAAGTTAAATACTCAAACATTACAATCTACACTAATGAATGGACAATTAATGTGTATAAAAGTAAACAATGCTACATACGGAAAAAACAAGGCATATTTTCCAGTACATGTCTTAAAGTTTTGTATTTTGCTGGAAGCTTGTGCCATCGCAGATTGGATGCATTGTGGGTAATATCTAGGACTTGCTGGTGATCGTCTGTGAAATGTTTCGGTACCTTTTTTGTATAATTATGCGTTGCAACAACCCATTATGACTTAAAGATGTTTAGGTGGATTTGCATTTTGTTGGGCTACTTGTAGCTGAAGATCTATTATAAAGTAAGGGCCAATGCATATAGACGTATGCCACAAATTAACCTGTTAGTAATTGCCCATTTTAAAAAAATACTTAGCGAATACTTTTTAAAAATATCATCAAAATATGCACACGCGAAGGATTATAACCCTATCAAATACAAACATTAGGTGTTTGAGGACGAATTATTATTACCACACAATGATTGAATTCACCTCTGTGTTACGGCAGGTCGTAAATCGCAAAAGATATTCAAAGTTCTTGTATATACTACTTGTGGACTTTTTCATTTTTATTCATAAGGTCGTAACGCGATTATTAAACATATTCAAGAATCTCTCTCTCTCTCTCTCTCTCTCTCTCTCTCTCTCTCTCTCTCTCTCTCTCTCTCTCAACGCAAATATTGCTGTGAATCAGAAAATTTTTTGGCCTTGCTCCATATAATGTTAAACTGGTAAACACGTCTATTAGCTATTTATAAATTGACAACCCGGGGCAAGAGAGAGCAATAATAAGTAGCTCTCTCGTGCTGACAGCAGTTGTTTGTCGTGTGACATCCAACGCGAACCAGCGCGAAGCTATGTAAATGCTTCTGATTAGTGTTGACAGCTTCGAGGACTATTACAGAAACAGATAATTGATCTAATCTTGTGTGATCATTTTATTGCCCTTCAGTGCAGTGCGATGCATTAATGACAATTATTTGTTTTAGGTGTGTTGGCGTATTTCTCTGTTCGCGATCTATTAATCTTCTGCGATAATAATAATAATAATAATAATAATAATAATAATAATAATAATAATAATAATAATAATAATAATAATAATAATAATTGATGACGACGATGATTATGATGAACATGATGATGTGGACTTTGTAGAGCGCCCAAACTTTAGAAGCCTTAAGTGCTTTACTATATTAGCTAACACAAAAACATAAACGACATTATTACAAACGACACAAACAATGAAATTACAAAGCAAAATCATACTGACAATAATTGAGGAAGTAAACATTATTTAAGTCATTAAGTCAATTTGTAGTCGAAATAGGTGAGCTATTAAACATCTTTTAAAATTGGAGACAACTAATAACTATGTAAGAATTAAGTTTGTCCTAATCATTAACTTAGGCAGTAGAATGTTACCTTTGAGAAGCGGTTGACCTCAGTTGAGATTTCATAGTAACATTGTTATAGTTGACCTCGATAAACATTACTGCAGGTATCTATGGGAAATCCTATTTTTTAGTATTTCCAATGCGTTTAAAATTGTGATGGTATTGTAGGGGTAAACGTGTTTTATGAGGGCAAAAGTGTTTTAAAAACAAGGGAAAATTTAATGTTAACTTTGTGATCGTTATAGGCCATTTCTATGTAAAATAAACATTACTGGGATGTAGGGGAGAATGTACTGTAAATATTTTTTTTTTATGTTCTAACACTTTTTTAGCACTTCTATCATTCGCAACACACTTATTTAGTACTTCTAGCATCTGATTTTTGATTGCATCTAAAGACATTCACATACACAGTCCAACACCAAAGCTTTTATTACAATCCAAACACAATTGTCATACATTGCAAGGAAAAGGGTGCGAAAAAGAGATACACATACAATATCATGCAAACATGCAATTCATACATAGGATGAAAAGGAAGGGTTGATGAAGTCGACACTTAAACACAAATACACTATCACACACAGGAAGGGTAGAAGGCGATTATAGACTCAGAACATACTATCACACAGAAGACAGAAGAGGTAAGTTTTTAGGTGTCAACAACATACACAAACCTATACATATGCAAACAACTAAAACCCATAATGTTTTGGCAAATAAAAACAGAATCTCTCTTTTCTGTGGATCTGGGTAGCCATTGAAAGGAGCGTTTGGATTCTGCCACTGCTCTGCCTTAATGGCCACATTTCATGTGGGACACCAAAGAATGTACATCTCTACTCCATTGATTTCCAACTCAGTGATTAATCAATACTGGAAAGAAAATGTGGGCATTGTTAACCTTACTATCCAGTTCTTGTAACGGTCGAATAAGGGGTTCAGGTGTCTGATGTTGTGTCTGTTGTCATTCAAGGAAATCATCGTTTTGTTTTATCTTGTTATTCTCCTCTGCTGACATTCTTATTTGTTTCTTCGCTTCTTCTTGCAAGAGTACTAGCTTTATAGCTCTTTTGAAACGGTCTATTCCCGCTCTGGAAGCTATCCTATTGTGATATAGTTCCATATATTTCACCTTACCTAGGATATGTTGTACATATTCAAAGTGCGCTAAATTTGCTACTCATCTTCTTGAACTCATGTTCTGATTTGACAAGCCAACGAACGATGCTAAGGCTGATAGATTAATTGATCTTGAATTTACATCGTGCTCGGCCCTTCAACCATGTGTTATGATGTAAATTGTGTGCACGGCGTACTAGTTAATTGGATAACTGCGGGGTTGGAA